AGCCCCCCGGCCGCCCCGGACCCGGGCCTTCCTGTGGCCCCGCCTCCCAGGTTCCACCCTTCAGAGGTTTGGGGGGCAACCTTCATTAGGTAATCCCACAAGGATGGGGACCAGCAGGTGGCGTGGTGGTTAAGGAGCTGGACACTCCCACATGGCTGACCATGGTTTGAGTCCTGAACCTGTTGGCTTGCTTTCTCTCTCTCTCTCTCTCTCTCTCTCTGTGTGTCTCTTTCTGGCCAAATGAAAATAAAAGAATGAATAAATAAAATTAAGTAAATAATTATTTTTTAAAAAAAAAGGTAATCCCACAAGGAAAAAAGAGCCAAAATGAAACATACCCAAGCGCCGAAATCGAATCCCCTCCTTTTTGTATTCTCCAGGTGCATACATTTATCTTTATCAAAGGTAAACTTTCCTCTTGGTCTTGATGGCGGCGCTTTGCTGATGCTCAGGCTGCAAGAGTGGGCTCAACCCTGGCTAAGGGCCGAAGCTACACTTGTTCATCATCACGATCAGATTGGGTAGCAGCCCTGTCCAGGGTTGAGCCTCAGGATCCACATCTGCAGAATGGGACTACCGGAGAGAGAGCGTTTGCCCAGGGCGACCGCGCACGTGGGGATGTCAGAGCGCAGTCTGGGACTGGAGTTGCAGCGGGAGGATCTACTGTGAACTAAAGGGCCAACGCGTGGGGTCCTGGGCCCAGGTCTGCGCTGGCGCCGCTTCCCAGCCCGCCTGGGTGCTACACAGGCCGGGTATTAGCCTCCAGTCTTAGGCGGTGGAAGCCCCTAGGCGTTTCTAGCAACGCCAACTTCCGAGTTATTTTTGACAGCCGAGGATTGCACAGGCGCCAGGTGGGCCTGAACAGCCATTTGGCTCTGGGGCGCTCAGCTCCGCACCGCGCTGCAATTTCCGACGCCCACGTCTTTGCTTCCACAGTCTCGTCCCCTCCTTCCAACCCCGGAAAAGAGAAATCTCTAATATATCCCGCGACCTTCATTTGTAACCGCTCATTTACGCAGCTTCTCTAATCCTCGGGACAGGAACCATTTCTTAATAGAATGATCAAAAGCCTTAAAACACTATAATATTCACACCCCGACAGGCCTGAAGAGAGTCACGTGGGGGCTACAGTTCGTCGAACACGCACGCATCAGTAACTTCATTTCCCACTGAAATAACGTGAACGTGAAGGCACGCCCTTCGGAGACCCATTTTCCCCTCGCATTTCAAAATGAAAAGTCGAGCAAGTCCTAAGAAATATATTTGTTTTAGTGTTTAACAAGCTTCAAAGAAGTTGATAAGTGAACTGATTTAATTCAAAATTAAAGGCAAATAAGTTACTTTCGAAGAAGACAGATAAAACATCCCAGTCAGAAAGGAAGGAAAAGCCGAATGTTCTCTGAGACTATAAAAGGGGGAGGGAAACTCTCTGCCTCAATTATTTCCCCCCTCCCATGATTTGCAGGAAAATGTCTTAAGCTCAAAAAGGTGGCACGGAGCGCAGCCCCAGCGCGCAGGGCCGATAGTGACCGCTGAGTTATCTGAACTCTCCTTGGTCCTCGCCGCCGCTCTCGGCACATTTTTGAACTTCAGCTGCTACAGTCAGACTGGCTTTCTCAGCTTGCTCCCGAGGTAGTGCTACAGGTAGTCAGGGACGCTTGGGGACATTGACCCCGGAGTGGAGAGTGTGTGAGGTCGGCTCTAGGCGGCTGGTCTGGGACAGGGGTCGGTTCCGCTGCGCCCGCCTGCGCGGACAGCGAAATCCAGCGTGGGCGGCGGCTCCGGGTGAGTCACCTCGTTGGGCGACACTTAACTCCGGGGGCCGTGCTGGGGTCGGAATCGGAAGGAACGTTCTGTCCCGGAATCATGAGCAATTGGGCGTTGGAGGCCCTTGGCGGGATTGATACTGTGTTGCAGACATCAAAAACTTTCAGAACGCTCCCAGGATGCACTTGAGGACCCCGAGCTTCCCAACGCCAGGCTGAAGCAAGAATTCAGCAGAGCTTTTGCGTTTTCTTGGAAGACCCGCTCCCCCTCTCCGCACTCCGCCAGTCATTTTGCGGAAGAAAACTGGCGAGGGTGGCTTCAAGTGGAGGTTGACTTCTACATTAAATAAGTACAACTCAGTGATGGATTTGCTTTAGGCTGACTTTTGATCTAAAAATTCTAATGTTGGCGAAAGACGACCAGTGTCACAGTTTAGCAAACCAAATTGTCTCCTCAACGTAGGGGAATGTTGGCTTTAATGTTTACTCAGGAAAAAAGAAAGAAAGAAAGAAAGAAAGCATACGTTTTCTTAAACTTAACGTCCCCAACAAACTAATAGTGAGAAACAGCTTCCTTGACGTTACTTTCACGCGCGTTTTAGCCGAGAAAAAAAAATTTTTTTTTACCAGACTTATCTCCTTGTTAATTTCTCCCTTCTCTCCCTCTCCAGCCAACCCTTTCCCCGCAGTTTGGGAGACTGGAGAAGAATTTTCGTGAGGACAATTTACACTGATCTCAGTTAACCCCAAGGTCGGAGGAGATCAAATCCCGGCAGACTAGGAAGGAAAGACTGGGGGGACGGGGGCATTGTCAGCGATTTCCAAAAATGCTTGAACTTCCACTTGAACTTCCTAAGTCGAGATGGCCTGGGAAGGGCCCTCTACTTAGTCCCCAGCGTAGAATGGGCGGGTTGCGGGGGCGGGGAGGACTTAGTGCGTCTCCTGCCCAGCTCTCCTCTGCAGCACGTAAACATCACCAGTACGCCCGCGAAACATGTTCCAGCATCTGGGAAACTTCAGTGCCGCTTGGCTCCTGAGGCACAAGCGAGGAAATGCGCGTCGATGCGGGAGTGTACATCTCGGCGGGGTCGGACTTCTCCCAGCGCTCGGTCACTCCAGCATCCTTCCAACCATCAGCTCTGTCACCAGTCCCTGGCTCCGCCCCCTAAATCCGCCCCTTGCCCTGCCGCCAATAGAAATCTTCGACTGCTTTCCATTGCCCCGGACCCTTTCCACACCCCCAAGTCCCGGGAGCTGGTTGGCTGCTGAGCCCTCAGCAAAGTGCCCACATTTGCATGGAGCTCAGGGTTTCTGATAGGTGGAGAGGCCCGTCACTCCGGAAGGCCGGGCCCGCCCACTCCACTCCGGTCCCCAGCTCTCTGCCTGCGCAGTTCTCCTCCGCAGCCTCTGCGGGGAAGTACCCCGGCTGCTCTCGAGGCTCAGTTCCCAGGACTGCTAGCAGGCGGCCCGGTGAGCGGCCACGCGTCCCGTCTGGAGTGACCAGCGCGTGGGAGTGCAGCGTTCTCCTGGCTGCGAGCGGGTCGTCGCGCCGCAGGAGCAGCCCCTCCGCCAGCAGTTACCGCCACCCCGACTTTACGTTTCAGTTGCGGCCCACCACCCCCGCCGCCC